ATTTATCATAATATTTATTAAAATTATTTTCATTACTTTATTTATCATAATATTTATTACAATTATTTTCATTACTTTATTTATCATAATATTTATTACAATTATTTTCATTACTTTATTTACCATTATTACCATTACTTTTTATACCATTATTTTCATTACTTTTTATACCATTATTTTCATTACTTTTCTAACCATTATTTCTTTACTATTATCTTCTTTACTTCACCATTATTTCCATTACTAGGTCAACTTCGTGGTCATCTCGAATTGTGAGCGAAGCCGTTTTCTATTTTCAATTTAGTCTCCACTGAAAAAAGAAATACATTAACAGGAAGGTATATTAGAGAGAGAGAGAGAGAGAGAGAGAGAGAGAGAGAGAGAGAGAGAGAGAGAGAGAGAGAGAGAGAGAGAGAGAGAGAGAGAGAGAGAGAGAGGAGAGAGAGAGAGGAGAGAGAGAGAGAGAGAGAGAGAGAGAGAGAGAGAGAGAGAGAGAGAGAGAGAGAGAGAGAGAGAGAGAGAGAGAGAGAAAGAGAGTGAGAGACAGACAGACAGACAGACAGACAGAGACAAAAGAGAGAAGAGAGAAGAGAGCGAGAGAAAAGACAGCTTAATAGTAACTCTTAATAATCTCCTTTTCCCTCAAAACTCCGGAAGAGCGCAAGAACCCAGTGGCAAAATGTTTACACTATCATAGGCTTTATTCCTACATGGTACAATGAAAAGATAATCAAAATGCGTTCTCTAAATACGCATGTGAATTAATATGCACTAACAATGATTTAAAAATTGCATATAAGTATATCAACTTAATGATGTATACTGTATATGGATGTGTCTCACGCGCAGTATTTAAGGTTTTTCATCTCGCTCACGTGCCTGCCCCCTCCCCTCCCCCCCCCCCGCCACCTCAGTTCAATCTTCTTTTCTCGGAAATTCTAATGCATACAGGATATCCCCCCCTCCCCCTCCCCCCGTTTAACCCCACAACGCCTCATAAAACGTCCTCACCCAGAATTAAAACACGATGCAATCCCAACGAAAAATCGTGTTGCAACCCCACACCCCTCTCAAATCGTAACACTGTGCGACCCCCCCCCCCCCCTAAAATCATACCATTGTGCAGCTCCACTCTCGGATTGGAAGATGGTGTAACCCCCCCCCCCCCCCCCCGTCCTATCCCCGGCCTCTTTTACACCAGGCAGCTGGGAAGTGGGAAGGGTATACGGCTTAAATTGAAATTTGCATAACATTATGCAACTTCACTCTCAAATTACCATGTTTTGCCTCCTAGTATCATAACATTGTGCAATTTCACTCTCAAATCACAGCATGGTGTACCCCCCTAATATCATAAACACTGCAACTTCACTCTCAGATTACAATATGGTGTACCCCCCCACCCCTAAAAATCATAACACTGCAATTTCCCTCTCAAATCACAATAAGTTGTACCCCCTTAATATATCATTCTGCAACTTCACTCTCAGATTACAATATGGTGCACCGCCCTAAAATCACACCCTCTCCTCCAGCGCCCACGCACGTGCCCATCACACCCATCTCCTTCTGCCACTAGTTCCTGTAGACTCTTCATTTGGGCAAGCGAGAGTCGTTTTATTGTTTTAGATATTTTGTCTTATAAATATATAATATATCAGAACACTTAATTATATCAAACGCTGCCCTTAATAGACAGACAAATCGGAGAATTTCTTGTTGTAACTGAACCGGTACTTTGCATTAAAGTTTTGATTAATCATATTTTCTCCCCACTTTATTACAATGTGTTAGATGTATGGTGCAATGTGTTGTGAATATCTAAAAAAAATAAAAAAAAATAAAGCATATTTCCTGTACGTAGCATTACCTTAGAAGAGTGCGTTTCCTGTATGTAAAATTGGCCTGACTAACTTTAAGGCTAGTCTGCAGAAAAAATGCAGAAAACAAAAAAACAAACAAACAAAAAACAAAAAAAAAGACAATGACCTTTGACCTTTTCCGGGTTATTCCAAGGCTGTACCTCAACGGACATCAGTACCATGTAGAGGGATGTCGCGACTGTCAGTATACCAGCTGACATCAAGAACACTTCTCTCCATGCGTGGATAGATTTATTCTGGGGGAGGAGGTGGAGGGATGGTTTAGTTCAGATGGACTGATAGATAGATGGGTAGACTGAGAGAGAAAAATGAGATGGAGAGAGAGTGATGGAGAGAGAGTGATGGAGAGAGAGAGAGAGAGAGGGGAGGGGGCACATACACTCACGCACAGAAAAGGAAAGAGAGAGATTGAAAGATAGATAGATAAATAGATAGAGATAGAGAGGGAGAGAGCGAAAAGAAGAATGAGTGACGGGGAGAGGGAAAAGGATATGCATAGGGATAAGGAGAGAGAGAAAGAGAGAGAGAGAGGAGGGGGGGGGACACACATACACACACACACAGAAAAGGAAAGAGAGAGATAGAAAGATAGATAGAAATATAGATAGATAGATAGA